TGTACACCACATACAAACCACTGAAATCGGTTGATAAATGTAAAAACAGTTTGTTTTTATCCAGAAAAAACGCAGCTCCCCCGTTTACTTACATTTGTTCACAGCGCAGTCTTGCCCTCCGCAAAATGGCGGACCCGTTGACGTATCGCAGCAACGTTCCAAAGCGGCCAATAGGGCGTCTATGTATTTATTGTGTCTATGGTGTAGACAGTGAAACTGGGGTTTTTGCCTTGCGACGTCAGAGTGTGCGCCGTTATCAGCTGTGTTTGACATCAGATTTGCGCTTCTGATTGGCCAACGTGGCTTTACGGTTAAGGTTTATATCACCGCCTGCTGGCGTGGCATGCTCTTGACCGCGCTTGATAGCGTGTTTTTGTGCTTTCATGTAGACGGAGACCGAGCATGTGTGGATGGGATTTTTTTTTTTTAAACGCTGTAGGAAAAACTCCGGTTATAAAAATACCCGTGTCCGTGTGGACAAGGCCTTAGTCTGCTTTTAAAATGTCCACCTCCACTCCATTTATTATCCTCAATTATTTGCACCTGTTTGAGGTCGTTTGCTGCATAAAGAAACCTGTCCACCCCATACAATCAGTAAGAATCCAACTACTAACATGGCCAAGACCAAAGAGCTGTCCAAAGACACTGGAGACAAAATTGTTCACCTCCACAAGGCTGGAAAGGGCTACGGGGAAATTGCCAAGCAGCTTGGTGAAAAAAGGTCCACTGTTGGAGCAATCATTGGAAAATGGAAGAAGCTAAACATGACTGTCAATCTCCCTCGGACTGGGGCTCCATGCAAGATCTCATCTCGTGGGGTCTCAATGATCCTAAGAAAGGTGAGAAATCAGCCCAGAACTACACGGGAGGAACTGGTCAATGACCTGAAAAGAGCTGGGACCACCGTTTCCAAGGTTACTGTTGGTAATACACTAAGACGTCATGGTTTAAAATCATGCATGGCACGGAAGGTTCCCTTGCTTAAACCAGCACATGTCAAGTCCTGTATTATGTTTGCCAATGACCATTTGGATGATCCAGAGGAGTCATGGGAGAAAGTCATGTGGTCAGATGAGACCAAAATAGAACTTTTTGGTCATAGTTCCACTCACCTTGTTTGGAGGAAGAATGATGAGTACCATCCCAAGAACACCATCCCTACTGTGAAGCATGGGGGTGGTAGCATCATGCTTTGGGGGTGTTTTTCTGCACATGGGACAGGGCGACTGCACTGTATTAAAGGAGAACTCCGGCGCAAAATGAACCTTTGGTCTAATTACACATTGTTACCTAGTCAACCGTTATCTGAGATTTGTTTTCATGATTATCGAATGTAAATAGTTTTATCTCTAAAAACAGTTTAGCCTATAAAGCTAGTATAACGCTAGTATATTGGGCATAGTGTAATGACAAATAAAAATCGCTTGTTAATACCACTAACAAGGCTGAAAATAGACCCACACTAACACGGTAGCATAATGAGGGTCCCTACCTTCAAACCGAAGCATTGAGAACTTTGTAAGTGTACAGACAGTTTAATAAGAAGATATTTTAAACATACAGTCAACTTCGCGTATACAGGCAGGTATATCGCGTATCTTTGAAATACAGCCTTTACCAGTCGATCTACGAACGCCGATCCAAGCCTGCTGTTCGCGCTCACCTTATCACAACTTATAGCTCGTTCACATCTCACCAGCGCACTTGGATCGGCGTTCGTAGATCGACTGGTAAAGGCTGTATTTCAAAGATGGATTCTGCCTGTATACGCGAAGTTGACTGTATGTTTAAAATATCTTCTTATTAAACTGTCTGTACACTTACAAAGTTCTCAATGCTTCGGTTTGAAGGTAGGGACCCTCATTATGCTACCGTGTTAGTGTGGGGCTATTTTCAGCCTTGTTAGTGGTATTAACAAGCGATTTTTATTTGTCATTACACTATGCCCAATATACTAGCGTTATACTAGCTTTATAGGCTAAACTGTTTTTAGAGATAAAACTATTTACATTCGATAATCATGAAAACAAATCTCAGATAACGGTTGACTAGGTAACAATGTGTAATTAGACCAAAGGTTCATTTCGCGCCGGAGTTCTCCTTTAAGGAGAGGATGACCGGGGCCATGTATTGCGAGATTTTGGGGAACAACCTCCTTCCCTCAGTTAGAGCATTGAAGATGGGTCGAGGCTGGGTCTTCCAACATGACAATGACCCGAAGCACACAGCCAGGATAACCAAGGAGTGGCTCTGTAAGAAGCATATCAAGGTTCTGGCGTGGCCTAGCCAGTCTCCAGACCTAAACCCAATAGAGAATCTTTGGAGGGAGCTCAAACTCCGTGTTTCTCAGCGACAGCCCAGAAACCTGACTGATCTAGAGAAGATCTGTGTGGAGGAGTGGGCCAATATCCCTCCTGCAGTGTGTGCAAACCTGGTGAAAAACGTTTGACCTCTGTAATTGCAAACAAAGGCTACTGTACCAAATATTAACATTGATTTTCTAAAGTGTTCAAATACTTATTTGCAGCTCTATCATACAAATAAATAGTTAAAAAATCATACATTGTGATTTCTGGATTTTTTTTTTTTTAGATTATGTCTCTCACAGTGGACATGCACCTACGATGACAATTTCAGACCCCTCCATGATTTCTAAGTGGGAGAACTTGCAAAATAGCAGGGTGTTCAAATACTTATTTTCCTCACTATATATATACAGTATATAATTTCATTTCAGCTTTTAATCACACATTTGTTCAGTGAACATACATAGAGCACTCAAATATAGTAGACGGAAGCCTCATTGGTTCTCACGTGTCAAGCAAGCATGATTTCTCATTTTTGGATGAACTAACCCTTTAAGGACGGATAAGTTATATCTAACCTTTTGTATCCCAACTGATTGACGAACATTAAGCTTCCTTTTTCTCTGGAAGGTGTCAAGGTTCCAGAGCTGAGCGGTATCAGAAGAAGTGCTGATGGCGTAGCTGCCTGAACTGTGGACGGACAGGGAAGAAATGGCACCCTCGTGACCCCGCATCCAGCTCACTAGCTGTCTGGTGTCTGGAAACAGTAGTTTGTCAAGAACAGTTAAACATTTGCAGGTCTATGTGAGACAATATAATATGTCATACCCAGACTGTAAAAAAGGTCTTACCTTTGTCAAAGCACTTAATGGAGTAATCAGCTAGAGCAACCAGGAACTCAGTGGTTCTTCTCAAGTTGAAAGCTAAAGCAGTGCATGCTTGGCTTGTTCTCTGGACCAGCTTGAATCTGTCGAACGATGCCGTTAGAGACATACGACATTACAGTGAACTTTTTTATTATTATCAATCAACAGGAAAGAACACTTTTGGAAAGGTACAGGGAACTTTCTATACCTGTTTCTGCTAATGTCAAACACATAAATATTGCCATGATGATCACCAGCAAGAAAGGACTCTCCTGTGGTATCGAAGGCCACTTGTAGGAATCGAACCGTTTTGGTTTGACGAGCAGACGCGTTTCGGATCACAGTGGCCAAGACGCTGTGAATACATAAATGCATTAATGAATCTCTTCTCAATGTATTAACAGTTTTCTCCGTGCTGGTTATGTCAAACTTACCCATATTTTGTTGATACAAATTTTCTGTGCCATATTTTCCCATCTTCTCTGGACCCAATATCTGTAACTTGCATGTTTAGCATCGACTGAGACCCTGCAACTGTTACTCCAGCAAACAGCCTCCCGCCTCACACAGCGGGAAATTCAATGACTGCAACGATTTTCATAAATGTATTAATGACTGTCTGTTTTACTCGTTATTGAACCTTAATCTCATATCAAGATTAACAGTAATAGTGACAAAACCGTTTATACTAGTGTTTGTTAGAGGGTCGAAATAAAGAACCAAGTAGCAAGACGCAAGTTTCAGTTAGGGGAAGTGACGCATGTAAACACTTGTTGGCATTATGGGTATTGAAGTCGTACGGTTTTAAGGAAATGTCACGTGAACTTACGTGTTAAACAAAATAAAAGCTTTAGACATTCTCTGATAAAAGTATATATAAATAATACAAATAAATAAATAAAATTTAAACAGTACATTTATTTAATAACTCATTTAAATTCATAATTATTTCATTAAATCAAAACGTTATAAATCTCAGCAATTATCTTGATTAGCAAAAAAAAAAATCGTATTTAGTAATGCGTATTATAATTTTAAAATTTGCAATAGTAATTTGAAATACAGAATATCTATAAAAATACACATTTATAAATATGTTTCAAACTATATTTATTAAATATATATATATATATATATATACTATATTTATTTAATTAAATAAATGTCCTTTTTACAATATTTATTTAATTCATGTCTGTGACTTTTTGGCACAATATCTGTGATATTTTGGTCTTGACACCTAAATCAGTTGGGAGACAGTGGTGATCGCTTTTTTCAAATACATTTATTTCAAAATATTGCTCCAAAATGACAAATGTGTCACCTTCTTCATACAAAATGCCTTTGTACAGTACCTCAGGTTTTAAATCACCTAGTAACATAAATAAAATCATAAGCAATTCCCACAAGACAAATCCACCAGACCTACAGGAATACATTGATAAATGATTACAGAATAAATATTTAAACATCAGGAGAACATCAATCATAATAGTTAACAAATATTACGTAAAAGCTTATAGAAAACGTATAAAACGGATGCATAACAAATTTATTAAAATGCCAGCCAACATATTTATTTTTAAACATTTCTGTTCAACAAATAAATACTAATATACCCATTAAAACATGAGAAACAGTCAGTAGCAGTCATATTCAGTAGCAAACAAGGCAGCATCAAATATAATGGCCACTTCAAGGCACACCGGTTTAGAAAAATCCATGATAAAGGATAATATTTCAGTGTGTTTGGCAGCACCAGATGAGCACCTGAGCATTGGTCAATTGAAAGCACATATTATGCTGCTGTGTACAATCATGGGTCAGGCCTGAGTTGACAAACTGCCAGCGACTGCAGCACGAGGGGGCCTGGGCCAGCCATCTTGATCACTGTGCCCCCCTCCCCCCAGATCACAACACAGTAACTGGATCTTCCCTCTTGCCCACTATTTCACATCTTTTAACCGATCACATCAGGCTCAGGCTCTGTATCCTCCTCAACCTCCGAGTTCAAACACTCAGTGACTGTCATACTGTTGTGATCCCCTAAAATAACATACTCTATGTTGGATCTCTCCATGTGAATGCTGTTGCCACTTATTGTTTCCCGCTCTGGGATCAGTTCATCATTGCTCTGAGTGGCAGCCATTTCATCCACTGTTTGTAAAAAAATAAAGAAAAAAATAAATTCCGTTTAACATAAACGTATAAAAACATAAAACTGTAATATATAACATATAGTATAAGTCTATAACGCTAGAAGAATATGACCTATATTTCCTGCTGTAGAGCTCTTACCTTTGATTGCATCATTCCGAGCAAGCAAAGATTGCTGGTCACAGGTAATGCATTGGCTATTGTGGTTCCCAATAATGCAGTTGGTCAGGGAAGAGTTTTGTATGTTTATAATACAAGGTGTAAATTGCATTTTTTCTGTTAAAGAGAAGACAAAAAGCAAAAGACATCAATATGAGCAATCACACGACATTGCATCAAAGGGATGTGGGACAGCAAAACAAAGCGTCTAGTCACTCGCACTTTTGAGAAGTGTGCGTTTTTACATTTCAATACTTTTGATACCAAGTGTGAGGTAATCTTTCAAACAAAAGAGACAACAACAGGAAGTAAGGTGATATAGTAACTACTGAACAGGAATTGCAAAATAATTTCACTACCCTGATGCTTCCTTAAACAAAAGGGCAAAGAAAAAAAACTACATTACCAGTGAGGCAAAATATGCAAAAATATCTACCTGAGAAAGGAATTTCCTCCATCTGTTGATGGTCCTCATGACCAAATTGTGCTGAATGACAACAAATGCATAAAAAAAGAAAAAGAAAGAGAAAAAGAAATAGTGAATAAACAATTCAGACATTGGCATAGATCTATTTCTAGAGATTTGATAGATTGTCCAACCTGGATATCCTGTAACATTCTCATACAAAGCCGGGTCATAAATTCCGAGGCATCTGAGGAACGAGCTGCATGCATGTTGACCTTTTTTAATGACAATCTGCATCATCTTGGAGGCTTTCTGCATGTCCGTGGCCTGCGATGTGATAACCTGCGATTCATATGCCGTGATTGTGCGGGATCGGTACAAGCAGTTGGACATCCTTTGAACTAAAATCCCAGTCATACACTTACTGAGGAAGCCCAAATATTGCCGTAATTGTTGATCTGTTGAAAAAGAGAACGAGAGAAAATTGTTTAAATCACAGGACGCTTAAAAAACAACAGAAATAAATGTAATACGCCCAAAATAAATTGGATGCATACACTCTTAAAAATAAATGTTCCAAAAATTGGTTTTCACAGCGACGCCATAAAAAAAAACATTTTTGGTTCCTCAAAGAACCTTCCAGTGAACAATTTTTTTTTCCTCAGTGTGAAGAACATTTTACAAATCTAAAGAAACTTGTTCCACTATAAATAACCATTTGTGTAATAGAAAGGTTCCATGGATGCCAGTAAAGAACCTTTATTGTAAAAAGTTGGACTTCAGCTAAAGTTGGACAAATAAGTTAAATACTCATTTGCTTTTACCTTAAAATGTTAGATAAAGTGTAACAGTAATTTTCAGAAACTGCTCATGAAAGGAAGTTGCTCTTAATGTTTTTGTAGTATTTAAACTGTATCATAAATTTTTGATAAATACAATAAATTCGCAAACAACTTAAATTAGATATGTGAAGCATTTAAATTAGAAGGGTTGTGTCATTACAAAAAACTAACATGTTGAGAGTAATTTTTTTTATCTGTGCATTCCAATAACTTTTAAACTTTCGCATCGTTCACACTGTTTTTGCGTCATTACTTAATTACAACATATACTGCTGAAAGATAGCTAGTGATTTGAAGCGCTTTGCGCTTCCTTGTAACATTATTTATTTTCATAAAACAAACTTCAAACAATCAAAAACAGGCCTGACAGAACGAGATATGGGTATGAGTTCGGAACTTACCAGAGAATATAACAACCGTGCTGTCCATCTATTAGTAAACAAAAATAATGCCAAATATAACAAAGAAAAGTGGTTCTGAAGTCATGTGAAAACGAAACTGCAGCTGCCATTAATATACGTAGGTGTATATGCGCATGCGCGTTGAGAATGTAATTTCCACACATGAAATCCCCCTTGTATGTCTGTCATTCTGGTTAACCGCAGATCTGAATGTCATGCGATCAACAACAACAGCAACATACAAGACAACAGTTTTAAGTTTAAATTCTTCAATAACAATTTAACGCACTAATAGGCCTACACTGCATGTATTTTTTTAAAATCAAATTTAAAGAAAAGGAGAGCCAATAATAATCTTGTTTAATTTGCGACTAATAGCCGAGCGTTTAAATGACCTACACGTTATTTATCAAACATAAATCACCTTTGCACATTTGTAGCGCAACAGTGATGTACATCAAGCCGTCTAGAAGCGTCACAAAGCCTGATGTCTATTGGTAGTTGCTGTTATAACAGGGAGGTTCCGCTGCCCTTGATTATGAGGGGCATCTCAGAGCAGGGTATAATGGGAGCAGAGCTTGAAAATATGAATATATGATCTACAGTCCACCGTCGTTTGGAGGCACTTTCAAATAGTCGTAGAAATGAAGCTTTGGAGCACGGAGCACATATTCAGGTAGAGAATTTGCGTTTATCTGCACAGATTCCAGCATCCTCTGTCATGATTTGCATCCCGATTCCCTTTAGTGCCGCTGGGATCGGGAAACAGAGCAGCTCTCGTCCTTTGAACATTTCTGTATATGTAGCTTGTAAGCAATTTATTCTTGCACATAACACAAATCTGAGCATTATTTGCTAATATTCATTCATTTGGGCCTAGCCGGTTGCTTATTCAAGTCTATTACAATTATGCGCAGTGTCGTTACTGCACAACACACTGTTACTCATCACGCATGTTACTAGCAAAACTCATATATGTAGTGTATACTCATGTTTTGTAAAAAATAATAATATTTTTTCCTCTCTAAATTTCAAATATTGATATGTTGTATATTTCCCTGTTGAAAAGAAGAAGAAAAAAACAGCTGGTATGGGCACAGGCTGCGTGTTTATTGGATTTAGATTAGAAAAGAAAAAGAAAAAGAAAAACACAGCCAAGGAGAACACCTTAAATGAGTGAAGAAAATCTTAGACCAGCTAAAATCGACAAACTAACTAGTTTTTTCCCCCACCAGGATTCAGCACCCCCAAAACAGAATTGTGCAAAACCAGTATATTTTCTAGTTTCTCTTTTCCTTTTTTAAACCCAGTCATTAGTTTCACTCCAAAATGATTCATTATGAGGAAATAAATTATCTCAAACAAACCTTTATTTTAAGATCCCAGCCTCTCGTTATGGACGTGATGCTCGTTGTTGAAAATAGGATGGACTACACTGGCCAAAATTCTTTCTGCTCATATTTAAGCTAAATTTCCCTTGAATGTGGTTTGCCCATGAGATCAGAGTCAGTACAGTGAAGTTCCTCATAATAAACCACGGTAAGCCATTGTCATGAGTTTTTGTCTGTATTCACACAGCTATCCATGGGAGACTGTGATCAAAGCAGCTATGAGGAAGTACCCCAATCCAATGAACCCTAGTGTTGTTGGAGTGGACGTTCTTGATAGAAACTTGGACACACATGGACGTCTACACAGTCATCGGCTCCTCAGCACAGAGTGGGGTCTTCCAGGGATTGTCAAAGCGGTCAGATGATATGCTTCACAGAGCTATATGGGTTATGTGATCATAAAATACTGGGTTAAAGATTATGAAAATGTGAAAACTGTTGAAGCTCCTTATATTTTAAATCTAATATTTACATATTTTACATCTTAAAATTTGTACTTCTTGTATTTTACATTTAAAACACAAATTAAAGGTAATTTTTGGCCCTCTAGCAGTTAAAAAACAAAACTGCATGCATTTTGCAGAAGAACATTGTTTTGGTTGTGCTTTGGCTTTCTGTGACTATGCAAATGAATATGGTTGTCCTACTGCTCATAGAACATTCACAACTAGGCTTAAGGGATATAACAAGTTTAGATGGAAAAGATCTCAAGCTGACTAGCTGAAGATTACTGTACTGTACTGTTACTGTAGCTGTAGTCATTACTTGACACTGTACTTCCTTGAAAATAAATGACAGCACAGTACAGCACTACAACAACCACCCATAATGAAACAAATCTAGATATATTACTATTACTCTACTACAGTGGCGAGCGGTGACTTTTTTAACCGGTATGCTGGGTGATGCGTTATGTCAAAAATGCACCTGGTGCACGCTGGATGGGTTTATAATAAGCATGTTCGCTCTAGAGTAGACAGAGTGTTAGCTTCTCAGTTGCTTAATCACACGAGACATGGCAACACAGCTAAAGGTTTCCTATATTTGACCATTTATTGAAAGTAGTTGATGCCTTCACAAGCAGTCGTAAAAGCTGTCGAGTTAAGTCACGTGCAATGTGCGAAAGGGGGGTTTGCAAAATGTGCCGTTTTTTTGTAATTCCGCTAGGTGGCACTAATGTCACAGAAATGACATGCGTCACCTTATAATACCCTTTTCACAAGATGTAAAATACATCTCTGATGTCCCCAGAGTGTGTATGTGAAGTTTTAGCTCAAAATACCCCACAGATATTTTTATATAGCATGTTAAAGTTGTCACTTTTTGAGGGTGAGCAAAAACGCCTCGTTTTGTGTCTGTCCCTTTAAATGCAAATGAGCTACTGCTCCGGCACAGGGGGCGGAGCTTCAAGAGCTCTTGTCCTTAGCAGCTTGATTACCTCACACAGACATGCACTGAAAATTTCAAAAACTTTTTGACTCCAAGGCCCTTCATTGTCCACAACAGTATTTGAAGGATCCATGACTTTTCCAGTTGTGTTTATGTTATGTTATGTTTGATATGTTATGTAAGTTATGTTTACTAAATAAAGAATAAGGATAAAGATTTTTTTAAATACATTTTTTACCTGATCAAATATTTTAATGCTTGGCATAACTAGAAAAATGCATATTTATAAAAAAAATGCCCATGGAGATTTTATTAATTTACATTTTTCCTGAAATTACACTTATAAAAGAAGGGCTACCTCATATATTCAGGTTTTTCAAGACCATGAGAACCCTGGTTTTTTAAATAAATATCAAACATGTTGCTAAGTTGGTGAATTAAAATAAGAAATATGTAGATTTTAATAGTTTTGGCTTATTTCAAATAATTTTACGTAATCTTGAGGCTCCCTTGGAAGATAGCTGAGGCTAGCTGATTGAGAACCACTGATTTATAAAGATCTTAATTTCCTCCCCTTAGATTTTAGGGACAAATCGAACCACCACATATGTACAAGAACATTCCATTGTGGACCCAGAAGAAAAAAAAATGGAGCTTTGCTCAACAAATGTGAGTCTTTGTTTACCATTAAACAACTTTCTTTCTTCTTCTTTTTTTTACAGAAAAACAAATCTAATCAGATTATTTAATTTCCTCCTTCAGATAACCCTAACCAATTTAATATCTGTTGATGAAAGACTTGTCTACACACCTCATCCAGAAAATCCAGAGGTGTAAGTTAATTCTTACTTAATTTTTGTTTTTGACATGTAATTGTAATATCTGCATATCTATGCACATCAATGTAAACGATACTAATAGAAAGTAATCCAATAATCCGTTTAACCAAAAGATGTTCTAAAAAAATTGCTTTATTTTTGCAGCACTGTATTAACACAAGAGGCGATCATCACGGTGAAGGGGGTCAGTTTGAGCAGCTACCTTGAGGGACTGATGGCTCTATCCATGTCAGCGAATGCAAGAAAGGTAAATCGTTGTTATGTATAATGTAATGAAAAATATTTATAAAATATCCTTGGAATATCCCTCGTAACATGTTGCCTTATCATGTGTTACGAATCCTTGATCAAAGTTAGCTAGTCTCTGTATAATGGGAACTTAGTAGTTCCTATTTTCCTGGTGACACAATCGAAGAAGGTCCAAAAATAAGCAACTTAAAAGCACAGATAATGTGGTTTTGTCCCTACAAACCCTGTTGTTTTTTGTGGATGTTTTTTTTTTCTATAAAAAAAAAGAAGTAAAGTAGTTTCATTTATTGTTTCATTAATAGTTTCATGTCTTTTGAAAACAACCAAAAACTGCTGGAGATTATTTTATATAGCATACTTATAAGCATTATATAAGCCTCTAAATAAAGTATGACTATTAAACTGATAAGCTATATTTTTGCCATAGGGATGGGATGCCATTGAATGGATCATTCAAAACTCTGAAAGGGAAAATGTTCCTTTGTGTGACCTGTGTTGAACAGGCATTATTTCATGAAGCACCTGTTTTTGGATGGTACAAACCTGACATGATAAGTAGCGGTTGGCTTTATCATATGCATTGGTACTAAAGGCTATTTAATAACTTGTTTATAAGCAGATGGGGCATACATGTTTGTAATATAAATATACATACATACATACATACATACATGTTATTATTTACATTATTTATTTATAATTTTCATGCTGAGGCATAGATAAAGCCATAAATGTAGTAAAAAAATCTACATTATTTATTTATTTAATGTCTGTTTCATGATAAGGCATACATTTTATAAAATACATATTATTATTTATTTATTTTTTGATGTCTGTTTCATGATGAGACGTAGATGAGGCATAATTGTTTATAATATACATATACTTTATTTATTTATTTTATGTCAGTTTCATTTGTGTTTTTAGAGCACATGAATGAACTTTCAGCAGCTCTAAAAGCACATCTGGCCAGCCTGACTTTGCCCCAGCTCTCTTTGTGTTGATGATTGTACACAAAGGTAGTCAAATGTGCTCATTTAGGCACATAAAATTGCACTATTACAGACAAAACTGTATGGAGTTTTGAATGTCGCTACAAAATATGAATGCACTGCACTGACTACCTCTTGTTTTAGAGTTTTTTTAATGCCATAACATAATGTCTCTGTATGAAGTGGATATTGGATGTAATTAAGAACCTTAAAGTTCAGAATATCTGTAAAGTGAATATAATTTTTGGTGTGTTCTCAATTTTTATTTATTTTTTGCTTCAGAAAGTTTGCATGGGTAGTCTTAGAGTGTAATTAACCTATAAAGTCTAGCTAAAACTTTTAGGATAGGTACTATAACTTATTAAAAGTCATTTTGTAATGTTTACTCCAAAAAAGTCCTATATTTAAGAGACATTTATGCTGCTTCATTGACACAATGTGAACGTATTGTCAGCCCATTTGGGAGGATTTAAGTTTATTTATTAGAATGATATGAACAAATGCTCATGTACGGTTTATGTTAAAAAATATCTTATTTTTTATTATTTTATCCTTATATCACTGCTGTGGTTCAATACGAAGAGCATGTTTGATTTAGTTTGTGAAGAAAATGTTACAATATATATGTTTATTAAATTATTAACTGTATATTTTCTTTAACAGTTCAATGTTACAAATTCAACATAATTTAAATAGTTTGATATTTAAAAACAATGCTTGTCAAAGTATACCAACAAACAGTTGGTCTTATGGAGCCACCTATTGGTGAGACATTTGAAAAAGAAAAACTTTTTTTTATGTTGCTTAAGTTGCAGCAGACATCGTGTGTGATTTATTTTTTCTTTCTTGTTTTTGTCCTGCCATTTTAAGGACTGCCTTGTTATTGTATAATTTAGACTTCTTTAATTATTTATTTGCGATGAATTCTAATGAAATTATCATCAATGTCACTGTTAATTAAACAATTATTTTCACTAGTCACTAGAAAAATTAAATAACCTACTTGACATTGCGTAAAGCTCTTCCACTGGAAAAAAACATGTCAGCATTTCTTCGCTAATGATGAAACACTACCCAAGCAGAAGTTAACAAACTTAAACTTGGTTTGTAATCGAGTCTAGCATAATTAAAGGGTTTGTTCACCTAAAAATTAAAATTCTGTCATTAAATACTCGTCCTCATGTCGTTCCAAACCCGTAAGACTTTCATTCATATTGTGAAAACAAATGAATATCTTTTTAATGAAAATGAGAGCTTTCTGCCACTCCATTGACAGTCTTATGGGTTAGGAACGACATGAGGGTGAGTAATTAATGAGAGAATTTTCAATTTTGGGTGAACTATCCTTTTAAGGCACACAGACTTAATGCTGGCTTTATCATGGTGCATGTTACATTTTCTCATTTATGACATTTTAAAGCATCTGTTTTTCTTTGAGGGCAAATAAGTCATGCATAATATTTACTAATAAGTATTGTAAATGCCATTTGTTCTATTAATCCTATCCCAAACCATGTTTTTTGTTTCCTTCTGTGTGAAGGATGTGGAATTTATTGCTTTACAAGAAATAAAATGAAATATTTGTCTTTTAATGCTATATTTTTTTTTGTGATGTGTATTTATTTGAATGTTTATGCCATGGAGAGATACATGGATAGTATTAGTTAATTATGTGGTTTACTGTTGGGAATGTCTTGTTACAGCAAACTATGCTGCATAAAATTGGTTAATGATATTTATATGACCCATAGAAGAGCACAATATATTTTAATGACAATTAAATTGTCAAAATATTAATGTACTGTATAATTCAACAATAAAGTTAATAAAAAAATATTGAGACATTTTTAGTGAAGAATTATTTGGTGCTTCGTGTGATCATATCTATAGTTTAACAAAACCAGTCACCACCAAACATATTCAACAACAACAACAAACACATGTGTGTATACACTGCCATTCAAAAGTTCTGGATTGGTAATATTTTAATGTTTTTAAAATAAGTCTCTTCTGCTTACCAAGGCTGCATTTATTTGATTAAAAATACAAAAAAACAGTAATATTGTGAAATATTATTACAATTTAAAACAGCTGTTTTCTATGTGAATATATAGTAAAGTGTAATTTACTCCTGTGTACTTCAGTGTCACATGCTTCTTCAGAAATCATTCTAATATGATGATTTGATGCTCAAGAAAAATTTATCATTATTATCAATGTTGAAAAATTTGAAAAATTGTTATTTACATTTTTATTTCAGGATTCTTTGATGAACAGAAAGTTCAAAAGAACAGCATTCATCTGAAATTTAAAGCTTTTGTAACATTTAACACTATACCGTTCAAAAGTTTGGGGTCAGTACGATATATTTATTTATTTTAGGGGAAAGAAATAAACGAAATCAATACTTTTATTCATCAAGGATGAATTAAATTGATCAAAAGTTACTGTAAATACATTTATAATGTTACAAATTTCAAATAAATGCTGTTCTTTTTAACTTTGTTCAGCAAAGAATCCTGAAAAAAAAAAATTGTACACAACTGTTTTCAACATTATTATTAATAATAATGAGTTTGAGCATCAAATATCCACATATCCTAGTCTCCTAATCCGCATATTAGAATTATTTCTGAAGGATCATGTGACACTGAAGACTGGGGTAATGATGGTGAAAATTTAGCTTTGTAAAATATATTAAAAGAGAAAATTACTACAATATTACTGTTTTTTTTTTTATCAAATAAATGCACCCTTGGTGAGCATGAGCATGTTCTTTTAAAAACATAAAAAATCTTACCGATCCAAAACTTTTGAACGGCAGTGTATATATACACATATATACATACACCTTTACATCAGATGTCTGGTATTCCAACAACCAAAATAAATAGAGAAATTACCAGTTGAAAAAAAAAAACATGCAAGAGTTGATGAATTATGGTACATCTGAACAAATATTTTATTTATAGAGATTCCCATATAAATCTGAATAAATATCATTCAGAAGTTGTATTCAGAAAAAAACATCTGCAAATGAATGACAAACATTTTAAATTTGCTTTTCACCAGTCAGAATAAGGCACCTTGGATGAGTTTACGCTTTAGAACAGCTTACAACATACTCAGGTATTTATTGTTTACAAAAATAAGCATGTTTAAATCGCAAACCACTGAAAATATCAAATGTATAAAAGTGAAAAAAAGTACTTAGAAAACGTATTGCACACCAGTGTCTAGGCCATTTTGGTAAACATTCCCATTTCATGCACTTGCTAAAGCACCAATATGCTATCTGAAATTCAAACAAATGTTTGTGTTGCCAAAAATAAAATCTATATTACATTCACAGAAGAAACCAAGGCATCCTGACAGCACAAGGGCAACTTTTTATGCATGTAGGATTATTTTAAATATCCTTTTTCTAATCCTCAATGTAACTTTTCTTAGAGTAAACAGGACCCATGCTAAATAAATATAAATAAATCCTTTATAAATAAATGGAGCGTATTTTCCCCCCAACACAGCTTTTTAGTTTCTCATCTTGCATATTTCTTGAGTACATTCAGTTACCAAACTTATAAACATTATGACACTTGCTTCTAATGCAACCCCATCTTTTCCCTGCCTCAAGTCATCCAGGAATCCTTTGCAATATTGACACTATGTACATGGCAGCAATGCAGCGCCCCCTAGAATTTGAAAAGGTTGATAAAACCCTGTGGAGACACAGGCTTGCAGCAGCTCTCTGGGTTATTGGCAGTGCAAGGATGGTCTGTATCCTAAGTGAAAAGGAAAAAACAATCTGTTAATGCCATAAATGGAAAAAAGAGGTTGATATTTTCAAATAAAATGTTAAAAGCTAGAAATGAGTCTAGTCACCTTCCAGAACAGGATGTGGCAATGTGTACAGAACTGTAACGTGTCACTGTACTGTTCCTTGTGAGGGTAGCACCGACACAACTTAAAATACATCTTTTTCCATTCCAAAAGTCCTTTATCTGACACCATTAGGCGCTTGCGGATCTGTGAAGAACATACCAAATTACTTAAACCAAATATAGTGTTTGTACTGTATGCCAGGTAATGAAATTCATGAGCAGATTTAAGATATAAACAGTCACATAAATATGCAAGACTCATCTGGTCCTTTAAGGGTCAGTTCGCTCAAATGAAAAATATCGTTTTAATACTTACTCACCCTCATGTCGTTCCAAGCCCGTAAGACTTTTGTTCATCTTCGAAACACAGATGAAGATATTTTCAATGAAATCTGAGAGATTTACATACCTCCATTGACAGCCCATGCAACTACCACTTTGTCGCTTCAAAAAGTTCATAAAGAGATTGTTAAACTAATGAATATGAATAGAGCGGTTTAGTACAAAAATTTTGAAGAGACTCGATCACTTTATATGGCTTTTAGGCAATTTTGTCTTTTATTTACATATAAACCTTGATCAGCGAACATAAACAGAAACTCAACAGTTCTTGCTTGAATCTTATTGGTTGTTGCGGAAGCTCAAACGCTTGTAAAACACAAGAATGAACCTCATTGGTTCTTGCACATTAAGCAAACATGCTTGAGCTTCCGTTGACCGCATCTAATGTGTGCGTTTATGAATATGTGGAAAAAAAGCCTAAATTCAATCTGTTCATCAGAAAGCGACAGTCTCCCTTCAGAAAATTTGGACTAAACTACTCAATTCATATGGATTAGTTTTACAATCTCTTTATGAACGTTTTGAAGTATCAAATTGGTAGTTGCATAGACTGTCAACGGAGGGACAGAAATCTCTCAGATTTCATTAGAATATCTTCATTTGTGTGTCGAAGATGAACGAAAGTCTGGAAAGACTTGAGGGTGAGTAAATTAAACTATTCCTTTAAGCATGTGACAAACATGTACCTGTCTGTCTGCAAAGTGATACTGGCAAAGTTTCTTCCACAACAGCCGATCTTCTGCTAGCACACTTAGGTCAGGGCATACTTGACCCAGGCTAACCAGATCTCGTCCGTCTGAAAGATGGTGCATGATGTTAAGCTGCAAGCTAGCCGGCAGATCAAGGTATGTCATCCCTGTGTTTGTAGGCTGGACAAATAAGAAGAAAGTCTCTGTTTACCTTCATGATCGGAACAATCTCAATGGATATGTTTGCTAAGTTACACAATATAACTCATGTTCTGTATGCTGTTACTTTTGTAGCTTAAAGTGATATTTGTTATTGTTAACTGAAATGAAGTTCTCCATGGAACACAAAATGAGATATTTATAGTAGTTGTCCAAGCTGCTCTATTCCATACAAGTGACAGTGAATGGTAACCAAAGATGTCAAGCAAGATTTTTATTGGAATTTCAGGCTGTTCCACTAACAAAGTTAAAGTTTGGCTTCAGAACACTCAAGTTTTAGTCCATTGGTAATATGGACTATATTTGTGGTGCTTTTATGTTTCCATTTTTCCTTTTTCAAGCTCGACAGCCCCTGGTTCCCATCCACTTTAATTATACAGAAAAGAGCGGCCAACACATTCTGCTTCATTTCTCCATTAGTGTTCCACCGAAGAATGATATTCATACAGGTTTGGAACCACATGAGGGTGAACAAATGACATTTTTGGTTGAACTATCCCTTTAAATGCAATAAAATACGTTTTTCCTTTGCTATATTATCTGGAGCTTTTACACTCACCCGGTTGATCTGAATGTTATCAAGCTGCTGTTGCCACTGTAGTATGTTCTCCATGCGGTGCACCCAGATGTTGATGTTGCCCACTAGGACAGACTTGCCCATGTCCTGAACCAGACTGCACAACGACGCATATAGTGTCTGCAGGAGTTCTTTAATCGGACGAACATTTTGCTGATCATCAAGAACTGAGAAAGAGTGCAAATGTTTAGTTAGGAACTAAAAGTTCAAGGGCGCACAACAACATGGGCCCAACACTGTTGACAGGATCTGGTGTGCGTTACAGGATACTTTAAGTTCATGCCAGATGCTTTCATAACATACAACAGATAAGATTAAGACATTGCATATGCATTTATATCATAAACTGAGGAGTGAGGAGTAAGGAAAGTGACCGGTAAATTAATAAAGTGGTTTGGGTATGACGTAGACTACAAGTGAGCAATTTAGTTTCCCATAACAACCTGCACCTTTGTTTAGCTGAGATGACTTTTGGTTTACAATACAGCTGAGATCCCTGTTTGCTCTCTGAGGCTTGTCGCTTTTTCCAGTGCAGGCAATTATAAAAATTCCATTCAGCTATGAGCTACTGGCCAAGCCCACCAAACTAATTTTGTTGTAAAAGATTGCAGACAACAGAATAAACAGCTATTCTGTTAGGACAGATTTTGCCTCATCTTGATTTCTTATTAACCACAAGAGAATTTCAGTGCCAGCATCGGAGTAAATAATCAGAGACTTTGCAAACATGTAATGTAAACAGACATTGTTGATGTTTCACATTGGCTAATAGTTTTGCAAATGAGATGAAGACGTGCGATATTAACAAGAAAGCTTACCTTTCTGCACAACCCTTTCCAGAATGTTCATGTAGTTTTTCTGTGCCACTCCACTCAGCGAAGGCAGTTGGGACTTGGCGATCAGCTCCAGCAGCTGAAATGTTGGACATAAATTTGAGAGGTCAGACTAAGAGGCTGTGTGTTCCAGCATTACTTGCAGACTGTTTTATTCCACTCTCTTCAGCCTTGGCAAAAACAAAGGGTTCAGAAATGGGACGTTCTCTCCCCACACACGCACTCTGGCTTATGTCTGTTTCAGCAGTGTTGTTGTTTTGAAGTTCAGACAAAAGCAGGTAACCATTCCTTCAAATGGACTCTAAAACAGTGATAATTTTACAGTAACTGTTTGTGCACCTTATATGTATGCTATCAGTTGGACAAGAGTTTCCAACACCAAGTTCATTTTCAAAAGTTAGGACAGCCAAAAGCAGATAGTGAGTGCAGAGTTCTGTTCTCTAAAGGCTGTTGGGTGGCATGACTGGCATGTAATACCAGCACAATCCACATCATGGAGCAACACTGACCCACACTCGACCCAGCAACATGTGAACATTGTCATTCTCCTCCTTCCCCTACAGCGAGCCCCTGATGAAAGATGCTCCAAGTGCCTTTATGTGGACTGGAGCATGAAAGTTTGGGGATTTTTCTATTTTAATAGATTTTAAAATGTCAGCATCATTACTCCAGTCTTCAGTGTCACGTTATCCTGCAGAAATCATTCTAATATGCTGGTTTACTACTCAAGAAACATTTCTTATTATTATCAATGTTGAAAACCGTTGTGCTGCTAAATATTTTTGTGGAAACCAGTATACATTTTTCAGGATTCTTTGATGAATAAGTTCAAAAGGAAGGCATTTATTTGAAATAGAAATCTTTTGTAACTTTATAAATGTCTTGATCAATTTAATGCCTATTTCCTGAATAAAAGTTATTTTATTTTATTTTAAAAAGCACTTTACTAACCCCAATGTTTTAAATGGTAGTATTAAAAAAAAAAACTTCTGGAAAAAATACTGGAGCAAGACATGCAAAAGCTGTTTGTGTATTACACAGTAATCATCATTAAATGTGAATTAATTCCAATAAATGACAGTGATATGAGACATACTACCGGTATATATATATATATAACAAGATTATAGTGGTCTTTGTTTGTCATAAGTAGCCTTATAGATTTGTTTTTCCATCCCTACTAAACCTGATCTCTGTAACTGAGCTCTAACGCAACACCAGCACAAGGTCAGACAACCAAAAGAGAAACTGCAAGATAAACCTGACACTGACTATGGTGTCTCAACAGTGCCTGGAAATGTCTAGAAAAATAGATGATGCACATATGATGCACTGAAGTGACCTTAGCTAAAAAGTTAGAGTAAACAACTTGATCCTGATCCTGTGTTTACCTGTCTTCTGAAGTGATCACAAGGATTCATGACCCAATTTGCCAGCACCTAAAGCTCATCATAGCTGACTCTATACCACAGTGGAGTCAAGTGATCGGATCAGAATTCAGGGTCACAATGCCGACAGATAGAGAGAAGGGCCTTTGGGGGGGGGGGGGGGGGGGGGGTTAATGGCCACCTAAGTCACTTGACTTTCCGTTCCAGTTTCATAAGCTTTCTCAACCTCAGCTGTCTGATTGACAGTGACCTCAACGTCACACCGACCTGTGTTTATCTGCTCTTAGCCGATGACCTTTGCTTTCATCACTGTAACAAGTAAATCAAGAGGAATGTCCAACCATTAGTGACCTTAAACCAAAGGAGTAATAGCTAATTTGAACTTGAATTTAAGGCTGCTTAAGTCACTCTTGTTTTTTCATTACAGGAAACAGTTGCAGCAAACACACACAGATATGTATACAGAAGCACAAACATGGTCCCTGTGCATTTGCCATGAAACTGCCCCAGAGGCCCGCTTGTCTGGTGTGCGATGATAAGAATGAAGACAGTAGCAGATACCCAGAGCCCAAGACTTGTTAACCCTTTCTTCTTCAGAGACTGAGCCTGGCTATTGTCACGGTTTTCCACAAATAGACGAGCGGAAACTCACCCTTACGACATAATTGAATCGCCTGGTGTCTTTGATGGCACTGCAGAAATCCAAGCGATTAAATGCTTCTCCCAGAGTACAATATCCATGACGCTGCGGGAGATGAAAGAGGAGTTAGTTGACTACTTATTCACAGAAGCCTCTTATATCGTACTGCAGGAGATGATTACCAGGCCTTACCTCTTTGGTGCTTCCTTTGTGGACATAAATCCATTTGTCTTTGTGAAAATCTGCAATGAAGAAATACATCAAGATTTTTGCAGTAACAGACTCGTTGCATTTAGATTTTCAGAAAGCTATGGCGATGAGGCTTACAAGGAATCTTTGTATTGTTGTTTAGCAAGTCCTTCTTTCGCTTCTTTGCAGCCACGTCATAATTAATGCTCAGGATCAAATTCTCCTTGTCATGTTCTTCCTTGCAGTAGCTGAAAGCAAAGTGAAGTTGTCAACACACATGCTTTGTCAAGGATATTTTTTCATAGTTTAGCACCATGATGGGGATTATACAACATATGGCCACTATCAATATGCAAATATTTAGGCCCTAACCCATTTTTTGTCTGTCTCTGTACCTACAGCTACACTTTTAGAAACAGTAAATAGTTCGAGCATACGACCTGTTGTATTATTAGAAAGGTGATTAACAGATGATGAGCAAACACAGGCATTTTATGTTTACAACAGCTATTTACTGCAGTGCTGTAATTTGTGCCGCATCTCCGTCAAATTATTTATACGTATTTTTTTATTCGCATTTTTAAAATGTATTTACACACGTTTTATATTTTCTAATAAATTAAGTATAAACAATATTAATAAAAATGTCATAAAATAGGCTAGATAAATATAATAATAATAAAAAATCTTAATTCTTGATAAATGCCCGTTTATCATTTTGACGCAGATTGCGTCTGCAGTAAACTACGCCATTTGTTTTATGATGCTCTTAGTGGTGGACAACGGAAAATATCAGTTGAAAGACTTCAAATGTAAATGTTGAATCATTAAACACTGACCTCTTCCGTTCTGAAACATTGTTATTCGTCTCGTTCTCATCTTTCGTCGTTTTTTTCCAGCCGTCCTCTGTTTTTACCCAGCTTTGACCAGGAGACCGCCAGTCTTGTCCAAGAAACGGCATTGTCAAGATACGAAAACCAGTGATAACGAAAGAAAACTTGTTAGTGTTAAACTTGAGAAGTTGTTAAAGTGATTTTCTCGCGTATGTGCTGCTATATTAAATAATGTTGTGAACGCGCTTCTGATGATAAAAGTGCGCAGCTGTATTTATATTGTCAGGAGGAGAATCCGGAAATGTTCCTGATCCCGCCCCCTTTGGACCACGTTCTCCAACACGTGGCTTTGTTTATCATCTTCCTTAATATTGCAAAACCTCACCAGAAACATAATCACAGATAGAGTTCAGTACGCTGCTGGATCATCTTTCCTCATGTGCTTATTAAATGTCAGACATACACAGTCAATGCAATTTAGTTGGTGATGAGCCTGAGATTTCTTATTTCCTTGAGTTCATCTTGTGAAACAGACAAGAAAATGACTGAACAAAAACTTCCAGACTTGAGCTAAACATAGAAAGCTGACTTCTTTCTTGATTTCCCCTGAGGAGTAAGATCACAACATTAACTGTAATAGCTACCCTTACTTATATGCTTCACAAATGAAAGGAAAATGAGATTTTGAATCACGAGGAGAAAATAATTAGTTAATGTGTGTGAATGACATTTCCTCCCAATCAGGATACAGACAATAGTGACTGTAAAGAAGTGGGTCAAACAAAGGCTAGTTATCCATTATGAAAAAGCATGTATGTTTTTACCTTATTACTGAACCTGCTAGTAACATGATCAGCTTCCAACTGAACTCCTATTAAGATAACACCATTTCGTAAAATGAAACTGGTAGAGAACCGCACTTCACACCATGATAAGGAAATATAATCTTTTGAAGTTGATTTCATCAATAGCTATTCACTTTTGTTTGGTAATGAGTTGCATACTGAGCAAGAAATGTTACCCAGCTGCCCTACATTATGATGTAATGAGAGCTGATGGAAATGAGAAACTAGCAGCTTCCTTTTATCATTTAATCTCTTTAAGTCACACACAGGAGTTTCTCTGTGTTGATTGTTTGCTTTCAGACAGTTTAATTCTTATCAGCTGAAAATGGTTGTGTGGAGACCAAAAGATTTTTAGAAGGTGTATATTTACAGTGTTTTACACTTACTTGATGCAAACACTAACACTTTATTGTAATTGCATTCAGACCCACGGGTTTCATTTTATACCGAGATGTAATTTACATGAGACATGAATGACACCTAAATAAATAAATCTGTCAACGCTCAATGCGTCTTTTTAAAAGGTTTAGACTACAGTAACATCATTTATGCCGGATAGCTGCCTAAACGTTGTGCTTGTTAATGTTTCCTATACTCTAGCATAGAGATCAGATTAAACCATGGGTTGAATTCAGGTTGATTAGGACACTTTTCCCCAGTCATCTCAATGGCAAAAAGTGTCCCAATTAACCTGAATTTAACCCTATAACATCACTTATCATTTTTCAGGAATTTTCCTTTAATTAATTAAATTGATAAACGAATTATTTATATATATATATACACACACACACAGAGTGTACACACACACACATATATATATGGATTGATAAGGAATTATTTTGCACAGTAAGGAGTATTTCTGTTGTTGACCTCAATGGTGTTATTTCATGGTGACCTCAATGTTTTACCAGACACAGTGTTTAGAGGCAGAACTGCTTGTGTGAATTTTCATAAAGGGAGAGCAAACATTTTTTTTCTTGTAATCAAAACATTGCATTCCATGCAATAGTTAAATGGTCATTTGAGATTCAACACAGACTCAGGCCTGTGATAAAGGTTACAGGAAACATTTCTCAAACAATTTGTCTCCTCACCAATGCAGTGCTAATCTAACCTGACTTGGCTGGGTGCAGTAAGCATGCCTACTGTGTTTAAAGTAGAGTAGAAGACTCCAGAACAGATCTCTCTATTGCCCCTTGCCAGTCGGGTAAGTTGAAAAGGATGCAAAAGGTGCACAGATCCCTGTAGTGGCATATACAATAAATCATAAATGTGTTTTTTGTTTATTTATCAATTTGATCAATTCATAATTTGATCAAGAAGAATGATTAGTGATGATATATAGTCATGGTTTAATCTGACCTCCACACTGGAATTTAGGAAACATCAACAAGCACAACATTTAAGTCAAGTCACCTTTATTTATAGCGTTTTATACAATACAGATTGTTTCAAAGCAGCTGCAGTGATAACAGGAAAATGATTCAATGATACAAACAGTTAATTTCGCCTGTACAGCATGCATCTCTAAAAGAAAATAGTGTCATTTAGGCAGATATCCAGCAAAAATGATGTTACTGTGTAGTCTAAACTTTTTAAAAATATGTTTGAAATGGTTTAGTAGCATTGTGGAGCGAGACCCATTCCATTAGGTTTTCATTCCAAAGGTTTAACAGCACATTGGGAAGGCATTTGATTCCATTGCGAGGCAAATACATTCAACAACGTGACATTTGTTCCTCTCCAAAAATATCTTTTCCCAAGCTATGCTCAGTGTTCGACTCTCAGCTCAGGGACAAGTGCTATGAGGGGATTTCCTAGACATCTACACGGCTAAATGACAATCATATGTCCATTTTATGATTTAAAGTTAAGAAAAGCTCAACATTTGTCTGTTGAACAAGAGCAAGAGAAGTAAATAAAAAGGCATTAAATGTAAAACGTTCATGTAATGAAGTAAACAGTCTAGAACTGTTTTTGTTTTGTGTTCATGTTGGTGGACGTGGCACATGATCACATACGCTCTCGCTTGCTCACTAACACACCTGTTGCTGTTGCTCTTACACCAATTTCATCATTCCCTCATGTTTCAGTTTCCTTGACCAACAAATCTGCAAACTGGGCCAGCCACATGATTCTGGGGGCGTAAAGTTCTCCCTTGTTTGTTTCCCCAAATAACATCAGATCACCTACAGTATGGCCCCCAAGGACTGAATCGCATCATCTCCGACCTAAAAGAACAAGCTACAGCACGAAATGTTCTGATATGAACAGGTTTGATGTAGTATAATCAATTCAAACCCCAAACAGCACATGTAGTACTAAGGATCTCACAGTGCATTGGGTAATCGTAAAACACACTTTGTTGTTCACGTTTTACCATCCTTAATGTCAATGAGTCAACAGAACATGATTATTGCCTAATGCAATATTATGTGTCTAATAAAAGCACATTGTCAATCTTGACATCACTTGGACTCGTACATGTTAAGGTTTGTTGAAGTGTGTTGATAAAGTGAAATGGGTATTGGGAATTTATACCAAAGTGACATATCACAGCATTCACAATACAGTAGCAAGTCTCTTAATGACTCATCAAAGTCTTCTATGCAATTCAGTTTCATGCCTGGGCATGCCGACACCTGTTACAGCAGTCTAACTGAGAGTGACAGGAAGACATGTGAGACACAGACAGGGCAATAACACATATATACCCAGACACACATTTCTCTCACACATCTGCTGCTTTACGTCCTCACACCTTCTGTGTCATGTCATATGATGAGTTTCATATCTTATGATCTATGTAGGATGATTAATAGGTCACATGTAAATTACTATAAAATTCTATTTTTTTTGGTGAATTGCCCCTTTAATAATTAAGTAAAAAAATAATAATTCTCTGTCAATAGTTTGTTATTTTATAATAATTTAATTACTCACGTCATTCCAAACTTTCTGTACGAGTTTCTTTCTAAATACTGTATAAAGAAAGATATTTTGAAAAATGTCTGTATTTTAGCTCATACAATGAAATTATCCATCAGTTTCTTTTATAGCATTTTATTTTGTGTTCTGCAGAAGAGAGAAAGTCATACAAGTTTATAATTACATTAGGCTAAAAAAAATGATGACACGATTATTTATTTATTTTTTGGGTGAACTATCCCTTTAAATTCTATACAGCCAGATAAGCCAATTTACAAAAAACACACAAAAGAAGCATTATTAGTTTTTATGAAGAATTTATTGGTAAAATCATTTTGCATGTATAACTGTCCCACTCAATTAATTTTTAAAAGAATGTAAAATATTTGGAAAAATATTGAAAAATCATTCAATTTACAAAAAGAAGGAATGTTTAAATAAAAGTACACATGTAAACAAACAATGTGCAACTATTCAGTGTCAAGTGCAAAGTAATACAGAATTTGAAACTCTTCAAGTTCAAAGGCAATGTGTATTCTTTAGTAAACACTAATATGATTTAATTGTTCATTTAACAGGTGATCTAAAAGAAACTTGAAAATAAAAGCTGAAAAAGTATCATACTTCCATCTGCTATATGGCCTGAGCTTAATTTGAAATATCTTCCAGCTATTTCAGATATTTTTTTATAACTTTTAATAGTTATTTTACTAATAACCTCACACATTCAAAAGGCAACACGTGCAAACACAGACAGAGAGCTTCGAAAAATGTGTCTCATTGCGTTGCTGTCTTAATATGGTCTCCATTTTTACTCTTTTCTCAGTATGATCTGTCAAATAGAGCACTCCAAGAATTTTAGTTGGAGACAGACACATTTAAGCTTGTATGATATGACTAAGCTACATTGTCAAATTAATACAGTCATGTAGGCAAAAACTTATCAGAGAGATAGACCAGATTTACTGAGCCATGGTCAAATAGCTTGAATGGCAAAGTTCCCATCGACACCCATGAGTCTGTCTTTGGGTCGTAGAAGTCAAAGCCGTCTGAGTCTTCCACACTCTCGTCACTGTTAATGAAGCGCCCCCCCGTGACATAGATCTTGCCATTCACAACAGCAGCAGAGTGATGCATCTTCCTGGCCTTCATATTTTCACATTTTTCAAATCTGTTGCTTTTAACATCATATGCTACCATTCTTCTTGTATAGCCTGTTAAATAATAAAAAAGAGAGTTAAAGTAGCATGAAATGGAAATTGATATCGTCTTTCTTCCCCTATTGTGATGAACACTACTGGTCAAATGGTTTGGAATAATGAACAAGTCTCTTATGCTCACCAATTGTGCATTTATTTGATCAAAATGCAATACAAACAGTAATGTTGTGAAATATTTTTACAATTTAAAATAGTTGTTTTCTATTTAAATATTTTACAATGTAATTTATTGATGTGACAGCAAAGCTGAATTTTCAGCTGCTTTACTTTTGGAGTAAAGCAACCAATACTCCAGTCTTAAGATCCGTCAAAAATATTTTTTCTTTCAAAAATCTCTAAATTATTCAAAAGTTTAATGGTAGTGTATTTCTGAGTGAAATGACTTCTCGAACAAGAAAAAATGTAAGGCGGGACTTGGTCAAAAATTGATTGGATTGTTGTCATTTGCTAATTGCTGCAATCTCATATGAGTGACAGGTTACTGGAGGAGAGGGATCTTTAATATTCCGCAAAAATGGATTTCATGGTGACCTCAACCAACTTGCAGGAACATTATATTCACAAAACTACCAAAAAAAAACCTCCTTACCGCCTACAATGTAGATTTTATCATCGATCACAGCAGCTGGTGCACAGACGTTCTTCACTGTCCTGGTTTCCATCCTATACCAAAGATTCCTTCCGATGTGGTACACCTATCAAGAACAAACATCTTTTACCACTGCAAAATCAATGAAATTTGTTCTCTATACAACTAAACATCCCAAAAAGCCTGACATATCAAACCTGGATAATTCGAACTGGTTTCTGCATGGCGTCTTCCCCTCCGAACACGTATATTCTCTGGTCATGTGCGGCTACAGCTGGGTGCAGAACTGCAGTGGGCATGGGGGCCATGGCCTCCCATAGGTTGAACATGGTGTCGTATCGCTCTACCGAATTTGACAGCTGTCCGTCAGCTGTCAATCCACCCAGAACAAAAATGAAATGCAGGTAGGTAGAGCTCTGATGGGCGTATCGAGGCGTCAGCATGGGTTCTCCAACTCTCCACTGGTTTGTTTTCAGAGAAAGCGTGTACACAGTGTTGGTAGTTGTGCACTGCCCTCCTGCTGTCATGGTTAAGCCCCCGAGCACATAAAGGATGCTGTGCATGCAGACATAAGAGGGCCGGTGAAGGCGCAGCGGGATTTTTGCGAGACACTGCCAGCAGCGAGTCTGCTCGTCATAGAGCAGCGCCTCACGAGACGTCCGCTCTCCATTCTTACGACCTCCCACTACTACAAGCGCCTCCTTGCAGTTTTTCCGTCGTGGCACCGCCCAAAGGGGCTCAAGATCGCCAGGGCAATGAGTGCCGACAGAAAAAAGAAGGCGGCGAACAGATTCGATAATCTCTATGCATAAAGAAGATGACTGGACTAAAGGGTCATTGGCGATAAACTGGAAAAGATAGGAAGGATGGACATGTCTCAGCCTCACGCGACGGAACAAGTCGTGGATAGTGCTACGTCTGGAGAACGGGTCATGGTGGATCCAAGCTAGAAGAGTCTCAAAAACTTGCTCCTCCTCAACGCACAGTTTGTCGTCCTCCAAGTAGCTCACCAATTCAGGTAGCGAGAGTTCGCAGAAGTCCTCGGAGACCACCACATCAGAGAAGCTCTTCACAGCCAGTTCTCTCGCTTTTTCCAGCAAGCTAGAGCAATGGAGGATTTCAGAGAGCCGGATCATGCTCAGGCAGTTGTCAGGACTGAGCTGGGTCTGCAAGAAGGTCGAGCAGGCCTCAAAAAGCCTTCCGTACTGAAGCATAGAGGCGGCTTGCATCAGAGGGAGAACCAGCTCCATGGTGATGCTGATGGACCCTGTGTATACATACTCTACTATACTCTCAAGGATGTCATAAGGAACACCTTGGAGGTCTATCCGGGGCTTCTGGGTCTCCAGGAAGCAGCTGCAGAACATAGCGTAGAAGTAGGGGCTGCTGGACACCAGAACATTGCGGTGACATGGGAGGTCTTTGCCCTCAGAGCAAAGAACAACATCAGTGAAAATTTGGTCCTTCCTCAAGGTGTTCAGCTCCTGGAGGAGGGTTGAGATCAGGTCTTTGTCTTTAAAATGCAGGACATCTGATATTGGACTATCTAAGCTGTGAAAAAAAAGACAAAAGTTATATAATCATAAGATATTTTCTTTAATTAGGATATCGGTTACATATAAATTTTTCTTGAGCACATAAAAACTCTTATGGCAGCAGTTCAGATGCATTTCCTATAACAATTTCATTTATAAATCTAGTGATTTTTAAAATTTTGTGATATTATAGTTGCACATTTATGCATATTTTAGCTTTTATACAATACACACACACACACACATATAGTATTTATATGTATAATATTATTTACAGTATTGCAGTATAGATCTGTATGTGTGTATATACATATATATATATAAAACAGTGTATAAATGTTTATTTATAATTATATAATAAATAAAATAATATGACTGATTCAATTACATGCTTGAACTATAGTGTTAAGTTGCATCTGTGAAACAGTGCAGCATTCAGTCCCTTTTTTAAAATACATCTGCAATTGCACATTTTAAGAAATCAAAGGAATGGCAGCAAGGATTCCCCATCTTCAATTAACAATTTTGCATGTTCATCATCACACAATTACATTAATCTTCCAAGATCTTCCAGTTTTCCTGCAGACTGACATATGGCAAACAAACCATAATGCCATGCAGTTATAGACAAACTACACAGGTGTTATTGAGCCTGAAGTCAAAGCATCTGCTTGGAGACCTGATGTGTCAGCCATATCTTGCCTTACCTTGTCTCAGATGATTTGAAGCACATTCTAGATGGTCCTGTAAATATGTATCATCAAAACTCAAGCAGAGCTCAAACTCGTCCCTCTGTTTTCAAAAAAACAGTTCACTTCTGATTCTGAAAGTCACTTTCTGAGTTTGGCAGGTGGATGTTTATAGAGACTGGGGCAACCGCGGTATGTTATTTGTTGTTCAGAAATCCTTCGAGAGGCCTCAGTGTACATTCCAGTCTCCCTAAAAATAGAAATCTCTCTTCTCTGTCAGACCTGGAGCAGGTCCCGCTAACACCTCCTCATGGTACGCCCTGGCCCCCTCTGTTTTTCCATAACACAAGAAGTTTCTTCACCGTCTGCATCGCGTGTCCGAATTGCTCCATGCTCCACAACGTGTGTATGTTTACCGAGGCTGTAAACAACACCACTTGTGCCCAAAAGCTATTCTAAGAGTTTGCTGTGTACTTGACCCACGTTTCTAAACTAATCCCCCCAAAAGCCAGCACTGTGTTACTACAGCAGTCGTCCCTAAACTCTGGGATGATGAAAGTTCAGAATGAGGAGATATAACAGCTGAAAGTTTTGAAGCCAAACATACGCAGGTATAAATTAGACAGCGCTGAGTGATTGGGTAATTGTATAGTCTTGGAAATTTAGTGTCCTCCACTTAGGTTGTATGAAGTTGCATTAATAAACTATTTGAATGTTAAGTAAACGAATAAAATGATTATTTAAAATCTTAATATATAACTATTTTCAACAATAAGATTCTTTGCTTCTTGTTTACAAGAACTAGGTCCTTCAGAAAAAAATTAAAATGGGCTTTAAGATAAACAGCGCCATCTTGTGTTAGTTCCCTGTACTGGGGGTTCTTGTGACCTGAGAGGCATTTGCGCAATACTGCCCTACAAAGGCAAAAGACCTTAACTCACCAGAGTGTGAAACTGAGAAAAATGACTTTAAAGTTTTTTTGTTGTCCAGCCAATTGTATGATAGGTAGGACAATGAAAATTTGCCAAGTAGTTGTCATAATGAATATATTTATCTACATTAAAAAAAATTTAGCTCAAACTTGACCTTTGACCCCTATTCGGAAGTTACTGTATTCTGCCTTTGCATTATCTGCAAAACAATAATGGGTCATACAAAGGCAAAATACCTTAACTTCTAATTTATTGACCATTTTGCCTTTTATCACTCTATACAAACATTTCTATGATAACAACGATAGCCTTAAAATAACATTTAGTAAGTTCTGTCTAGTAAGGGTTAATATTACATCAATAGTTACAAAATATTACAAAATAAAAAAATTATGAGAAAGACCTTAACTCGCTAGAGTTTGGAACTGAGAAAAATGACTTTAAAGATTTTCAGTTGTCCCTCCAAATTAATTATAGGTAGGACACTGTAAATCTGGCGATTAGATGTTTTAGTAATAAAAATTATCTACATAAAAAATCTTGAGCTCAAACTTGACTTTTGACCACTATTTTAAAGTTACTGTACACTCTGCCTTTGCATTGTCAGCAAAAAGTGAGAAGTTATGCCAAGGCAAAAGGCAGTAATTTCCACATTATCAATATTTGGTTGCTGATCACCATTAACAAAATCATTATAGTAACACCTGTATAAAATCTAGTGATCATCAGTGTTGAGCATGTTACTTAAAAAAAGTAATTAGTTATAGTTACTAGTTACTTCTCACAAATAGTAACTGAGTTAGTAACTGAGTTTCATCATTATAAAAGTAACTAATTACCAGAGAAAGTAACTATTGCGTTACTTAAAAAAAAAAAAAAAATCAAATAGGCCTATGTCAAATAATTTGGATGCCCCCAGTATTAAATATGTTAAATTAATGAAATGGACACTTAATAGTGTAGATTAGTGTTCAATGTTTTATAATAATAATTTATTCTATTTTAATGTTGCTGTGGGACAATGTGAGAGACGCCTATTAAATTCAATATATTATTCTAAATATTAGCATTACCATAGTAGAACAATAAAACATTATAGATGGTTTACTTAATATCGCACAGACCCCAACTGGCCAACAAATAAGTTTAAAAATAAATTATGCTTCTTAAGAAATGTACCAAAAATGAATGAATAATAATAAAAAATATGCATATTAAAATGATAAAACTGTTACACAACTTCACAACTAGTAGACATACTGTAGCCTGAGTATTTTCTTCCTAACAAAAATAAACAGTTTAACAAGTGCTCTCTCAATATAATACTGAACAATTTACCCAAAAAAAATATAATACTAAAATATAATATTTTGGGGGTTTATTTTTATAACCTATAGCGAACGTCATCATCAGAGATTATTTAAGCCAAATTCTAGACGTGTTTGCCGCACGTGTTTACAACCGGTCAAACAAAGATGTTTTCTGTGAATGTTCCCTGCAGGTTATTTTCGGGTTTATTTTATAACCTAAATAGAACGTTACCTGACGGTAATTTTTTTGATTTTATTTGTATAACCATGTAAATTAATTAACGTTGCAGATATGTGTCATTCATTTATTTATAAACAAACTATATAATGCTCGGACACCCTCGGTCTCTCTTGCGCAACTGTTGAGCGCGCTCTCGGACACATTCGGTCTCTCTCGCGCATTGAGCGCGCTCGCGCCAATCGCTTCGCTTTTGTCCACTCCGGCGCCTCATAAACACACACACACACACACACCAGAGAAAAAAACTTTGCAGGTCCTATGGCGGAGAGAGAGCCTACTCGGATGAAAGCCGCTTCAGTGAGTTCAATTATAGTAACGCCACATTTTTTTTGTCAGTAACGGTAACTGCGTTGTAACGGGGGAAACAGTAATTCGTTTTATTACTCGTTACTGAAAAAGATAACGCCGTTAGTAACGCCGTTTATTTATAACGCCGTTATTCCCATCACTGGTGATCATGGCATTTATTTTGTATGATTTACACTTATAGACATCTACTTATTACTACCCTGTGCTTTGGTTGCATTCTGGTGGCATTATTAATACATGAGACATGGCAAAATACCTCCATAGCGGTAAGATCTTCAATTGGTACCGAGTGGCATAAGACTTGATAAACGCGCGTTCAAAATGATCACGATAAAACAGGTCCTCGCGCACATTCGACCCGGGGACTCGTTTATAGTATATTCGTGTTCGAAGGTGTCATGCTCCTCGTACGTTCACGAAAAGTACGAAGTACGAACGCAGTGCTTTCCATCTTGAGACTCGGTGGGGAGCGCGCTCTGGACTACCTAGACGACTAATGCATTTATAGCACAACCTTCTGTGTTCTGCGTCTTTTCAGTAGCGGTGGTTTCAGCTGTCTGCCCTATTATTGTGCAGTGCACTTCGCTCGTCCCGCGGATTTATTCCGGACAGTGTGATTGTAGGTACAACCCGCTTGTAACAGCTTGTCTGATGTTGTATGCACCAACAATTCTTGCTGCATTATGTTGTATGCACCAATATACCGTTGTTGCTTCATTATTATCACTCTGTGATATATTAGTCGCGCGTCGGCTCGACCGTGTTCAGGGCGGAGCTGAAGGCGCCGGCGAAGTTTTGGCACTCTGCCAGCTAGATGCATGATTGTTTCAACCCGATCTGGGTGAGGCGGGGATTTAGTTCTTTGTTGTATTCACCTGCTACGGCGTGTGTAACATTTTTTTCTGTCAACTCTGCATATATCATTCGCGATGGATAGCCTATCGCACGTTTTTCATATGGAGCGGGTTCAGACCATACTAAATGTTCTGACCGCATTTGTGCTGGACAAAGCTCTGAGGACATCAGAAGTTACAGGGACTGATGGCAGCTGTACAAAGTACACAGGCTACATCGTAATTTCGGAGATTTTAATGGAGAGCAAAACAAAGGCAGAACACCGTACAATCTGAAAGGTAGCATATTTGATAGAACGCCATGCAGCACCGTAACTTCATATTGACGCGCGGCTAAACAAAGGCTGAGTACCGTAACTCAAAATGAGCGTTCCAAATCAAAGCCAAAGATCAGTAACTGGTGTTACGGTGTTCTGCCTTGGTTTCTCACGGGCTTTTGGAAGTTACTGTTAAGACAACCCATTATTTTCTCGAAAAAACGACGGAATTGACTCAAGATACTTATCCACATGATAAAGGGGGTCTTGAATGTGCCAAAAATATAAAAAACTAATTTTCGACCAAACACGAAGTTACGGTCTTTTGCCTTTGCACGGCAGAATAGTTGCAACTGTGCTGTCATCTGTTTAACATGCTGTAATCTAAAATGTTCAACAACTTCAAATAAATATGTTCTCATGTACCTTATGATAATATGTTGTTAATACAAGCAACAACAGTCTCCACATTTGATCAAGCAGAAAAAAATCAAACATATAGATATACATTTAACAATATAATAAAGATATTTTGATTATTTTCAAACATGATGTCCTCAAGCCTTGTAATGGACATTAAGAAACAAAACAAAACTTGCTGCAGTGGCTGAGTGAAATAAAGATGTGAAGAAGAAAAATGGGGAAGCTGAAAATTTCTGTTATAGTTGAAAGCATTTTCAAAAGATAAACACACAAACACACACGCCAAGTTTTAATGCATAAATATATATCCTAATGGTTTTTTTTCTGCATTAAAACTTGGCCTCTCTCTGTTTCAACTGGAATCACAAAATGTACACACAATAATGTATTACAAGGTATTATTCTGTTGGTATTATTTCACTGTACCCAATAGCTTCAATGTGCAAACCTCTGAAATTCCAGACACAAAATAATGGAAAACTAGATTGTCAGGTTAAGAAATTCATGGCAAACACATTTCAGCTCCTCCCTACCCATTGTAAGGCTAGAAATGGCTTGAGTAATCCCTTTAAACTTCTACCACAACACCCTTTGAAAAGATGGCAGGCAATATATTACCAATAAAATCATAAGAATGCCTGATGTTCGGTAGCAGAGAATGTTGGGACCTTAAATTCTCCAGAGCCACTCTTTGTGAAAATAACAGTCTCTTGGTAGAAATCTTGCAACCTGTCGGGAGAACTCTTAAAGCCTGCAGATACTTTACATATCTTGCAAGGTACACAGCAGTGCTAAGATCCGCTCTGCTCTACAGCATCCACATTACATTACTGGGAGTATGTTGTGCAGTTGCTTATTATCTCATGCTAAGCACTCAATTCCAAAGTGCCTGTGCCTCAGGGAGAGCATCCTCCCCGATTAACCCTGCTTATCACTGCATGAGTAAATGAAGGGTAAATAACAGTCACACCAAGAGATGGAGGGTTATGACTTCTAGACATTTTCCAAAGACTTCTGCCATTTGTATTCCTCACTATTATTACTATTTATATTATATTAATTATATTGTTATACTATAA